AAAAAAAAAAAATAGCTGGACATGTTGGCGAGTGCCTGTAGTCCCAGTTACTCAGGAGGCTGAGGCAGGAAAATTGCTTGAATCCAGGAGGCGGAGGTTACAGTGAGCTGAGATCTCATCACTGCACTCGAGCCTGGGCAACAGAACAAGACTCCATCTCAAAAAAATGGTAATAGAAAAAAATCTAACTAAATTAATCCCTCTCTCCTGATTTTCCACCAACACTTCTGGATAGTCCTTCTTAATCTTCTTTATAAATTCTTTATTTTTCCCTTTGAAACTCATGGGTCACTTGATGTTCCATTCTTGATGCACTTCTTCCTCATATAACCCTAATTATTTCACTCGCTGTTAGTGGTATAACTACCACCGATTTGAGGATCATTCCCAAATCTGTATTTCCTGCACAGACTTTTCCCTGAGCTCCAGGTAGCTATATCCAAATGCTTAATGGAAAATCTATATCTCAAGCTCAACATGTCCAAAACTAAGACAATTACCACACACAGGCCAGAAGCGGTGGCTCACACCTATCACACCTATAATCCCAACACTTTGGGATGCCAAGGCAGAAGGAAAACTTGAGCCCAGGAGTTCAAGACCAGCCTGGGAAACATAGAAAGACCCCATCTCCACAAAAAAAAAAAAAAAATTTTTTTAGTTAGCCAGGCATGGTGGCATGTACCTGTAGTCTTAGTTACTCAGTAGGCTGAGACGAGGGGATCGCTTGAGCCCAGGGGTTCGAGGCTACAGTGAGCTATGACTGTGTCTCTCTACTCCAGCCTAGGTTACAGAGCAAGATTCTGTCTCTAAAATAAAAATTACCGCACATAACTTTAAGCTTACATTTTATACAATATTCTTTATTTTTCTTTTTTCTTTTTCTTTCATTTATTTATTTATTTTTTGAGACAGGGTCACACTGTATCACCCAGGCTGGAATGCAGCGGTGCAGTCTTGGCTCACCGCAGCCTCCACCTCCCAGGTTTAAGTGACTCTCATGCCTCAGCCTCCCAAGTAGCTGGGATTACAGGCATGCACCACCACACATGGCTAATTTTTGCACTTTTAGTAGAGACAGCGTTTTGCCATATTGGCCAGGCTGGTCTCAAACTCCTGGCCTCAAGTGATCCACCAGCCTCAGCCTTCCAAAGTGCTGGGATTACAACGGTGAGCCATCACGCCTGGCCCTATACAATATTCTTCATATACACTGATGCACTGTGACTAACACATAGTAAATACTTTATATATTATATGTTGAATGAATTGTGAAATAACTAACAGCCAAATATGTCTTCAGTTCTCTCTCTCTCTCCTATATTATTAAGCACATGACCAATATGCTTTGTGGAAATTATTTCTACAAATGTCATTTCATTCTCTTGTTCCTTTCTCCTCCCCACTACCCCCTCCACTCCCACTCCAGATGAAGAGAGGGTGAGAATGGGGTTGGTACACATCTCTGAATGGCAGCTCCTCAAATTGACAGGCTTCAGTATTTCAAGGTAAGAAAAGCTGCTCTCCTCTTTCCCTTCTTCCCTCCCCCCCCCGGCCCCAGCATCACAGTCACCACAAGGACTGCCTGCAATTGGTATTCTGGGCAGATGTAGCCAGCTGCAAGGTACGTTATCTGATAGTGCACCTGTCTGGGAAACCAGCAAAAGGAAAACCGTGTTTAGAAGGCATATTTTTCTCCTACCCAGGTAAGCAGGAGAAATAATAGAATTCAAATTGGAATGACCATGCAACAGAACTTCTGCACACTAGGTGTTTATCCCAGTTCAGAAAAACAACTATTTTAAAGTAATGAAAAAACATTCCCTGTTGGGGAAACAAATGGAACTACATGTTTCTGAAACAGTTTGAAAGAAAACAGCAAACTCAGTGAC